TTTTGATTGTAAGCCTCTTTCTCTCTAACATTCCTCTAACATACTCGTATGCACAATATATATCGCGCTCGCGTACAATGTTCAGAGTCACGTATATGTTATTATACATATACATATACTATAAACTCTCTCTCTCCCGCGCGCGAGGAGGCGAAGTGCCGCAAAGTCAAGAATGAGACGAAGCTCGATTCTTCGCGAGAAGCGTCAAAGTGACTCTCAGCACCTACTGATCCGCATCATCTACGGCCTTGGCCGTTAACGGCTTCGAAGAGAGAGAGGTCCTCCTGAGGGTGTCATCGACGCTCCTCGTCTTTCCTCGGCCGGCGATCCTGCAGCGGTGAGACGTCGTCGTTTCCGCTCCTCGTCTCCTCCCAGCCACCGTAGCGATGGCTTACTATTCACAGCGCGAGTCCGTGAGCGGCTCGAGCTTCACCGGGATCTTGTCCTTGTCCTTGAGACCGTGGGGACTCTTCACCAGATCGGCGATGTCCTCTTGGAAGAGATTCTCCGGGCGCGGACTGACGAAGCTTCGCGCCGGCTTGTACGTCATGCCGCTCACGCCGATGCCGACTTCCACGCTGCTGGGTATGTGACCCGCCGGATCCATCAGCGGACCCAACGGACTTGCCAGGGGACTCTCCATCGGGCTCTCGGGCGGGCCGCCCGAGCCCGGGCTCGCTAGACCGAGGTTCAATGGGGAATTGCCGTTGTTGCCGACACCGGCGCTATTGCCGCCGAGGCCCGCGTTACTGCCACTTGTATTATTGTTATTGTGGTGCTGGCTAGCTTGCATCGCTGCCTGTAAGTTTGACGACAGACTGGAGGACAAGCTTGTCGACAAATTCGTCGACAAATTGGTCGCCATCATGTCGTGTTGCTGCGAGTGCGCTGCTGCCACCATACTGCACATCTGATGTCGCAGACCTGGATGATAAAGGTAAGATAGAAAGATTAGAGTCTTGATAAGCTTAGAGTTAAATAAAAAAATAAATATATAATTAAATAAATAAAATTGTTTAATAATAGCAGGAAATCAATGAAAACTTCTTTATTTCAGATATTTAAATATTTAATTTTGAATATTTAAATTGTAATCTTTTTCGATAAGACTTCGAATAACTCAAAAGGACGATTGTTCTCATTTTTATACATCCTGCAACTTCTTGAAGGAAGTTGAGAATCAACATAAATATTTTTGATTGCGTTGTAATTATGAAAAAAAAAATGTTTAGACTTAAAAATATGCTAGTAAAATTTATTGTATAAAAACGTTCTCTAAAAGAGGCTGAAACTTTCGGAATAAGGTTCGGTGTTTCTTACATGAAACGGTTGAATCTATTTCCATTCTATCTCAATTCTAAACACCAATTTCGAAAAAAAATTAAGAAATGGAGAATCGCGATTGCACTAAAAATCAAATTTTTTTCGAACAAATAAATACATTTTACAATTTTGATTTTTTTTTTTTACTTAAATAAATATACATTTTGTTTCCAAAAATGTTTTGTTATATTAAATAAGTTATTAGTTGCATGTAATAAAAATTATAATTTTTAAAATATATTATTCAAAATTAAAAAAAAAATATTTATTCGAGGATAAAGAAAATTATTTATTGAAATAAAGAGAATCTGTGCTTTTGAAACAAGCAGTCAAAAATTAAAAGATGTTTTTCTTTTTAAAGGAAATAATTTATAATATAATAAAGATTAAAAAAACAAATTTTTTATTTATTTGCGAATAAAAGCTACTTTGCTTTTATTTTACAAATTCAAATATATTTGCTGCTTGATTAAAATAATTAATTCCTTTGCAAGTATTTAAATAAATACCATTTTTTAAATAAAAAATGTTTTTGGATTTAGTACATTTTTTTTCAATGTTACCTTGAGCGACCGCCGCGACCGCGGCCGCGGCCGCCGCACCCGGGCTGACCGCGCCTTCCGGACCATTGCAGGCCGCGTAATTCGCCAGGGTAGGGTATATCGTGGTCGGCTCCTCTTTGACGATATGGGGCGAGTGCCCGTCACGGAATACCACCGCGCGAATCACACCGCGGATGTGCTCGTCCGGCCAGACGCCCAGCAGAATCCTCTGCGGTCTTCCTCTTCCCTTCGGACGCAAATCTACAGATGGAAGGGAAACAAGATTGTAGAAAGAAAACGAGAAAAATATATATTTCACTGCAAATCGGTTTATTTTGAAAATAGCGGTATGTCGATAATTGAGTGATAGGCGTTCGTAAGACTTTGAATTAAACGAAAAGAATGGGAAATCGCCATATAAAGAGCTCTTCGATTTTATCAGTGAATGAATTTCGCGTTACGTTATTATACAAAAAATCTTGCATTAAATAGGGACACGAATTTAGAATGAAAATAATAATTGTGAGGAAAAGTTTTATATATCTGTGTGATTGTGTCAATTATACATAAATAATTAATAAATTTTATTATAATTTATAACCATGGAATCGGATAATATCACGGAATGTAATATGCTAATGAAGCGGTAGATGCGTAACTAAGCCATCGAATGTTAGCTTGGCCGATGTAATTGCGCGATGTAATTACGACTTTTACGAGCGTAACTGAGTCTTTGGATTATTCTTTTCCTGATCGGCCGTCGCTTATTAACTATTTACAATTGGCTACACCATCGCGGTCCATTAAGCGAGTCCTTCGCGCGGTTAACTAGGGTCTTGAGAAAGTCTTAAGGGTGACGAACGGATGTTAAATAAGAAACGAACGCGCTGTGAAATTTTAGACCCATATTCGTATATTCCATACTACAGGCTTACAATAAATTAAAAATAAAATATATCTCGATAAAACGAGATATATAAAATTCTTTTGTGTATTTTAAAGATGTTTTGGCTGTACAATAGTAACAAAAAGCTGTCGAAATTAAAAAAAAAAAAGAACATTTCTTACGCTTATATTTTGGTAAATCAAATAAATAGATTTGGATTATAAAAAAAATTAAAGTATTACAAAGTAATATGGTTTTTAACTTCTTCATAAAGAAAATAGTTGTAATTTATATTTTTTCTAATTTATGATAGAAACTTTTGGTCGTGAATAAACTGCAAGAAACAAAAAAAAAAAAAAAAAAAAACGAGTGATTTACAGGAAAATTTTGGGTTACAGTAAGTATTTTGTTACAATTTTTAAGTAAGTAACTTTTAAACGAGTAAGTGAGTGTAACTCAAGTTTTGCACAAATGTTTATAAAAGTTTTGTTAATACATGTGAAAATTATTTTTTCGCTGGCAATATTTTTTTCTTGTCAAATTTGTCAACAAGTGCTACAATACGCGATTTCCCAATAAGAATCGATACAAATTTTAAATTTAAATAATTTCCAAAGCGTTAAGAGAATTGTGCTCTGGTTTTGCATAGATATTAAGAAGAGATAGTAGAATAATCTACGAAATTTTCATGCTTTTGTCATGTCAATGTTTTGACATATGACACATACATCCTCAAGAGAGATCCTCAGTTGAATCGTCTGCGACAATTTTATTTTCCCGACAAACCATAAAAATTTGAAATAGATCTTCATTCTAGGCATTAATAATATGCGGTCGTTGAATATTTAGTGTAAGCATTAATTTAGATTTCTTATCGTTGAGAAATATATCATATATTCTAACTAGAGATGTAAAAAAACCGCTTTTTTCCAAAAGAAAAAACAAATGAAAAGAAAAAAAAAATTTTTTTTCATTATTTTTTTTAAATATAATATTATTTTTCTTTATATTTCTTTTTGTTAACATAACAAAAAAAAAACTAAAGGTCTTATATTTTTAATTTCTTTTATTTCGTATAATTTTCAATTGGATGCATAAGAAAAATTTTTATTATGCATCTAATTGAAAATTATCCGAATTATGTCGCGTAGATATCATTTTAATCGCAAAAATCTCATTAAAAATCCATTAAAATTGTTTTCAAAAATATAAAATAAAAAATAAAAGAATTGGTTTTTAGTTTATAAGATGCTCGTGAAATAGCCAATTGGAATGCGAGCAACATTTAAAATAATAATGGTTAATTCAAATCTATCATCTAAAAAGTTAAAAATATTGAAAAATCAATTTACAGTAATCAAAATATTAAAATATTAAATATTCGAAAAAAAAAAAAAAAAAAAAAAATTTATTTTTTTTTTAGAAGAAAACGAGGCTTGTTTTTTTTATATTTACATCTCTAGGATTAAACAAAGAGCAGAGGCGTTCTCTCCGAGGATACTGAAAATGGCAACTAACACTCACCGGCCCCGCCGTCGGCGCTAGGACCCAGCATGTTGTGCACTCGATTCGCGTACAGGACGAACGTCGGATAGGGGATGTCGTATTTTCTGAAAGGGGAAAAAAGAGGAGCATATATTAATATTTATGGTTTTGTGCTCCAATCTATGCTATATTTTCCGCTCGTCTTTTTGCATGATTTTTCTAAATTTATTATCATATATTATCCTATCTAATTGTATTTTAATTTTATTTTATGTTTTTATTCCATCTCATTACAATTAATTTTCATTTATATTAATTTTATTATACCGATGATATAAAAGATTCAACAACACGTATTTGAATGCATGGCGATGGAAATTATGCAATCTCTCGAAATTATGTAACCGTCGCGTGGGAGAGATACAAGCGGTGACATGGTGGGTTTAACAAAATAATACAGTAACTCCTCGCAAGAAGTGATGAAACTCATTCAGTTGTCTTATATAGTCTTCATTACGCGATATATTATTATTATTATTATTATTATATTATTATTATATAGTTCCTTGTCTCTCCCATTTTTTTTTTAATCGTAAAAATTGCAATATATTAACAAAGAGTTAATGATAATCTATCTCTACGATTTCTGGAAAATCATTTCTGTTCGCGGATCGAGTAGAAATTTCTAAGATGGCATAGTCGCATATTACAAAGGAGAGCATTAGACGAGAGCATTATCGATCGTCGAGTCGATTATCATAAAAATTATCGCTCGCGAACTCGTAAAGTTGAGCTTTATTGAGTCGCTTTGTACGCGAATTAAAAGAAATCCCTTTAACGGCGAGTCGTAGACGTTGTTACGCAAACGTGATACAGACTTTACGACGCCTGCGCGCAAATGATTTTAAAGGCAGCTGCTTTGAACGGCAGATCGGAACGATTATTCAGCATGATTCAGGCACGGCGATAAGATATGCCTGATGCAGTAATTTACAGGAATTTTTCATTGCGTAATAACTCGGCTCCTATTGTATACGCGCCGCATCATAAGACATTTATATAACAATTTTAACTATTTACCCGGTATATTGCGTGAGTCGGCGCGCGCGTTGGAGGAAACAATGCGGCGGAATAAACTCGCATAAAATATTTATCTTTCGCGTGTTATTTATTAATGCTGCAAAGAACATGCTACCTGGTCACGAGGCGAACTCTTGGGGGGATAAGCAATTTTTTTTTTTTTTTTTTTTAATATAACTTTTTAATTTTTATATTAACGTATTTCATCACTCGATATTAATATTAAATGTCGCGCACCGAAGTTTTATGCAACTGCGCCGGGTTTATTATTAATTTTATTATTGGTTCCATGGTGTATATACACACGTACGATGGATGCTATGTGCATCGTATACAGAAAATGATTGCAACTAAATTAATTATTTTTGCAATATACGAGCGCGCGCGTTGGAGGCATTTCAATAATTTTTTAAATTAACGTGTTTTGTATCAGTCAGTGTATTAATATATGTAATATTGCTGAAAAAGTGCAATTAAATGAGATAAATAATTTTTACGAAACGCGTTGAAAATGTTTCAAGGTTTTTAAGTTTTTAATACGATGAAATATCGATTAGTATTAATATTATACGTGATAATATCTCTCCTCCCCTCGCTCTGGGGTCTCTCTCGCTCGTCCTAATATTTTCGAATAAACGATTCTTCGCAGCCGATTCTCCCTCAACAAATTTGAAAAAGCATTCATAGCGTTCTATTATAGTTTATTAGCGAGATTGAAGAGAAAACGTTTGAACAAATTGAAATACTAAATACTCATTAGAGTTGCACGAGATATCAAGACTAGTCTTTATTGTCTTGTCTTGTCTCGAAATTCGAGACAAGATCAAGACAAGATTTTAAATTAGTTATCAAGACAATACCAAGATTGACTATTGTCAAGATTATTGGTCTTATCAAGATTATTGATCTTTTAAAAAAACAAATTTTTTTTTAAATATGTATATTTATAACAAACAAATAAGTTTTTAAAAATATGTAAATTAAATGAAAAAAAATTACTATATTATATAATTGGCCAATGACCGTGAATTATATGTTTCAAATATATTATAAATATATATCCCTCTCTTTGATTATATGTTCATTGTCATAACAAAAAATACTGAATACACAATACTGAATACACATTTTTTATCGTAATTCTTACAATTAATGATCGAAAATGAAAATATTATGCAAATGAAAAATGCTTATCTTACAAAAGTCATTCAGTTCTTTTCAGTAAATTTTTAAATTTAATATTTAAAATTTAAATAGTTTTCCTTTGTATGAATGAAAAGCATTAGAAAACGCATACAAAAAAATTTATTTTAAAGGATTCCATAAAAATTCTCTAATTTTACCTGTAATTTTGAACAAATTATTCGAAAAATCAGGGAATTCTCAGGAAATGTTTTGACAAGCTCAAGGATAGGCACCTTGTACAAAAAGATTATACATGTTAAATATTACTTTAAACAATTGTTCAGTATTAGATAAAAATTGTTTCGGAAAATTTTCGATATTCCTGATACAATATTTTTAGGAGTATTGTCTTGTCTTGAGTCTTATGCAACCCTAATACACATATCGCGCGGAATAAATACGTAAGACCATTACGAACGTACCTTGCCGCTTGGCTGAGGGAAAGCCCTTCCTTGAGGACGCTGAAGATCGCCTCCGCCATGGTCTCCGGCCGCCAGGACTTGAGGGGTCCGCGTTCCCGGAAGCGCAGATTGTGCACCAGGCTCTGGTTGGTGTTCCAGCACTTTTGCCACATGGATTGGAGCTGGTACTGGTAGCTGTCTGCTAGTTAACGCCCCCCGTGGAAAAGAGAAAACACAGAAAAGCAGCTATTAGTTGGGGCCGATCGGACCAGTTCAGAGGGATAGGGGCAATATGGGTTCAGGGTGGAATAAATATCCTCGTTATTGCATGATTCTTTTATTAATCGATCGTCTATCGCGCAGACTCTCGAAACGCGTCCGTCCTCATTCGATCGTGATCGAAACGAGGGGGCGAATCGCCGCCGTTTGCGATTCCGCAAATGTGCAATCTTAACGTCGAATCGATAAGCGTCAGTCTCGATGCACGCAGGTGCATCTAACGTTTATACCTCGAGCGTGGGCGGAGTCACCTGAAAACGGCGCTTAAGGAAGACAGGTGTGCGTGTGTGTGTGTGTGTGTGTTACAGGTGTGCGAGCAGGTTGCGGCGAGGTAAGTCGAAGGAATTACTACCTTTCTAGGTTGAAACGCAAATATCGATTGTATTGCCGTTGTCGTACAATCGTTAACAGAGCGTTGTAAGGTCGTCGCTTAACGAGAGGCAATCGCGTCGCGCGGTGAGCATTAAACGCGCGCGTTACGTTAAATGGTACTTAACGCTACTTAACACGAACAAGTAATTATTGCGTCGCGGAGGCTCTCGAGAAATGTACAGGATGGTGTATATATATGTATCTTAATACGCGTTTTAAACCACAGAAAATCAGGAAGTAACGTCGTAAAACACACTTCATGTAAATGTGACTTGTTAGTTTTAAGACACGTGTCTTCCATATATATATATAATTATCCTCAGTTAATTAGAAAATTTGTGTAATATTGTATTTAAAGTAACTTTCCTTTATTACACAACGACACCATGTCTCGAAGAAAAAAAAAAAATAAAAAAAAGAAATAAAAGAAATCAAATCGAATAAATTCGCGCTTTATAAAGCGCTGAAAATATTTCATCTCTAGTATTACAATAAAAACACATATAACGCGAAAATGCTCGAAACTTAGATGACCGTAGAGTCCTCTGTGCAATCTATAATTGCTTCATTTTCATATCGGCATGCTGGATCAGAGATCTTGCGATAAGGGGTACACCGTTACTTTACACACATTATTAATTTATCACATACGGCGTTCTCGCGCATTATAAGAGTCTCCTTGATGTAATAGAGTATTTTTTCGCAACGTTGTGCGTGTGGGAAAGATTTATCGACAAAGATCTCTCAATCGACTCAAAGAAATATTTGTGACGTAAAAGCGAGCGGAGAGCCTTAATAAGGAGATTATACGAAGCGAAAGAAATGTCCGGCGCGGCGACATTTATACAGTAACTTCCGCTGCTCGCTCGCGTATGGCACGTATGGCCGGCCTCAATTCGCAACGATTATTTAATAGTTAAGTTATTGACTCTAATTAAGAGCCTCCTGACCAATTTGACGATTAATACAATTCATTGGAAAACGCGCGCTCCGCCGGCTATTCCGTCCATTCTTAGATCCGCGCGTTTAGCTCTATCGTTATCACACGATTGTATTCGACAACGAAAATTCATAAATACCGAAAAAATTGTATTCTCTTCTTGTATTTGTATGTAATATGTATACAAAAATTGTATGTATATTTTCCAAGTCCTCTTAATAGATATTTTTCATGAATAAGAATATTTCCTTCTTTATACGTGACGTTTTTTGAAATATCTTCTTAAATTAAAGGCGCATTCTCAATTTGCGACAACGTATAAATAGCAAATGTCTATTTGTAAAATTGTTTTTTGTTATCATATTTAATGATCCCAAATCTTAAATAATATAATGGTAAAAAAAAAGTATTCTATTTAATACATATTCTTACACGTGTTAAAAATATCCGATACGTTTTAGAGGATTTCTCTTTTAAATTAGGAGAAGATCCTCTTAGCTCTTATTTTAGAAGAAGATATTACATAAAGATAAGTGAAATATTCTTAAGATGAGACTACAATTTTTTCGGCGTAGAACGGATTTCGGAAATTCCGCCATTGTGCGCGTGCGCGCACACATACACACATGCGACTCTCTAATTTTACTTATTTTATTTATCTAAAAAAAGGCACTAAGTACAACACATTTTTTCTCGATCGCTTTCGAGCAACCAGCGAAAGTGCGATGCGGATTATCGCGCATATTCGTATAGAATACGTAGTAGCGGCATTTATGCTATATCCCTCGCGACGTTTTACATTCCGCTCGCGATCTAATCTAGCTTTATCAATGGTCCCCGAGAATCGTCCTCTCGCCTACTCGCGAATTCCGCTGGATTACACTTTGTGTGTTCGGACGACGGCCACGATCTGACCAACCACCCTCCGCGTGCGGTAGCACCGGTCGTAAACGCGGCCGTTTTACGGCCGTTATCCGCGAGATACCGTACCCTTACTTTCGATACTTTATCGGGGAATGTCGTGTATATATTCGCCTATTTTAATACCGCTCATTCACACTTAATTCTCTCTCCTCGCACACCCCTCTCTCTCGCGTTCTCAGGCACACACCTCGCCGCGCTCGACGTGTCGGGCACTTTTAGCGGACGCGCGATAACAGCGGTATAATATTACATCGTTCTCGCCGGGATTCAATTAACGCGCCGCTCGTAAATACGCGAGCTGCGAGTCCCCGACCCCCCTCCCCCGACTCCCCCCCGCCACCCCGGGGGACGACGATCGACGATAATGTGACGCGAGAAGTGCAGCGACGTCGTCGCCAAGGAGAGGAAGGAAGACGGGCGTCGTTGTTTCGAGCTCGTCGAGGTATATATATATGTGTGGGGATAACTTTAATATATTACTGTATCTAGATGCATATTGCAGTTTGCAGTTGGGGCAATTTAAGTTTAATTGCGAGCAGATTACTCGTATTTATAAAACATGCAAAGTCTCGCTGTAAATAATTTTTATGAATAAATATGAGAACCCGGCCGAATGCGATAATCTGCCGTTATCAAGATCCAAGTCGCGTGCGAGTGATCGAGCCGATGTATTTGGATGCGGCTCTTTTATATAGGTCCCCCGTTGCTTTGCTCTACTTTCTCATTAAGTTTGTCCAAACAATTTTCTTCGCGTACATATCTGTATTATTTATATCCCTATTAAATAATATAACCAGCAATAGTTATTTATAAACTTAAAATAATGAGCTCGATAATATCGTTCAACCCGATTAAATGTTATCGCGCTGTTAAATCAGTTTTAAGTACGTGGCATACTTTCTTCATCCATTTGCTCTCTCTCTCTCTCTCTCATTTCCCGCCATATTCATATAAATCATTTTGCTAATCTTCGACCATGTGCGTTGCTTTAACAAGAAAAGGATATGTGCTTGTTTCATACATGCGATTATTCGATAATCAGATGTGGAATGTTAACGAAAATACGCACGCTTTCGTACAGAAGGTTTTTTTCCTTCATCATTAATATATACTAAGAAACAATTATCTCGCACAATTATTATCAGCAGCAAAAAATCTGAAACGCGCGCAACAACATGGCAACGTTAATAACTTAAACATGTGCTTAGCTAATAATAATAAAACTCGTAGTAGAAAAATATCTAATTATACGTCTTATTATACGTGAACATCAACAACGATTTCAGCGATGATTTGGTCCCATCGATTCGAAATACATAATGGTCAGAAGTATATACAAAATAAGCTAAAATGCGAGTATGGATTGTATATTCTTCGCCCTCGAGTTCGTCGATTAACAATTAATGTGGAAGACGCAGATGAATGGAAGGCACTATAATCATACATTAGATTGTTCACGAGCATGATTTGCAAGAATGCAATAGAGCTCCCGAAATTAACGACATGTTTGAAGAGATTTTGCAATAGTGTTTTCTTTTTTTTTTAATATTAATATTAATTTCTTATTAATTTTTTTAATTAATAGAAAGAATAATGCACTATGTATGTGTGTGTGTGTGTGTGTGTGTAAATATATGTAATAATACACTGTAGTATTGTTTTTATGAATTATTGAAAGAGTGGCAAACGCACACGATTTGGAGGTACAATGTTAATATATATTATTTTAAAAATAATGTTATTTGTGTCAATGGACTATTTTGAAAATATTACAAATTAACGTGCCTCAAAAATAAATTTCAACATACAATTCATAAAGACTTAATATTTAATATACCGTTCTCTTTATACCCGGTTTCCTTTTTAATTGAAAATATTTCCTGCACGCTTTTTCAGCGAATATATGGAGTTATTAACGAATAAACGAATTAGTTCTCTTATTGTATTAATGTGTATTAAATGAAAAATTCTATTACTTCAGAAGCGTCGGACACCGAGGAGGGGGGGGGAGGGAGAAAAAAAGATCCGAGAAACATTGTCACAAGGGAATAACCGCGCTAATCGCCGTTGATGCAATCGATTCTGATGGATATTAAATTTAATCGAACGTAGACATTTTTTGCCCATTAAAGTCCCCCGATTTTAATCGCGTTATTATTTCGCGCGATTGCCCGCGCACGCAGCGCAAACGCGGCGTTCGATTTTCAATTACCAGGCAAATTCTTCCCGCGACCCTGCTTGTGCAGCGATTTTCCGCGTTGAAGTCTACGGATTGCGCATCGGTTTGTCGCTCTCGCGCGCATGCTCCAGAGGAATCATACAAGTGGATAAAAAAAAAAAGACGACGAGAAAAATGGAAAAAAAACCGGCTGAAAAAAAAAAGAACGAGAGCGATGTTCGCGGAAATATTTGACTGTGTTGCTCTCTCGCGATAAGTATTATTATACGTCTCTTAAAGCCTCGATGGATTTAGAAAGAGCCCCGCGAATCCTCCCAAAAACCGTTGAATAATCCATTTCGATAATTTTCCCGGATAAGAGCAAATCTCAGCGATATTACATTATTATTCCGTCCAATCTCTGACACTTCTGGTTTTGAAAGACACTTGCTCATGAACGGGCTTTGCTGTGTGTGAGATGTGAACGTGATTATTCCTCTCGTTTAATTTTATATCTCTAATTATAAAA